CAAGGCTTCTTATTACAAGATCAACAACAGTTATTTTATGGATTTAGATAGAAAGTACTACACAGTTGAAATAAGGGAATCGTGTATGAATGTCAGTGTGAGTGTTTGTGTGTACATGTGTGTGTGCGTGTATAAAGTAGTACCAAGGCAGACCTCACACTTAAAGAGGAACGAAATCCTTACCACAGAGGCTGGCCAACTATACACAACTACTCCATGTGTAAATTTTTAGGATACTATGTGTTAAAGCCTGACTGAAAAGTTTTCTGTGACACTCCTGTAAATTGGGAGTTAGGGCGAGTTTACTCTGGGGGAGAGGGGGGAAGCATGGCACAGGGTGGTATACCTCTAAAATAACCTTTCTTGATTACTGAACGTTAGTCTGAAATCAGGGGTCTCAGAGAGGGAAAAAAAAAGTGTGAAATATCTTGGTCATAGTAGGTGATAGATCGTTCATGAAGTCCTTTGGTAAAGCACAATGTTCTACCCCTTTAAGAACATTTGCTAATCATCCTGAATAACCATCTAAAGTATATTATATAGATTACTTCACTCTTAAAAAGGTTTTCCCAAACATGATTTAAGCTAATTGATGAGTATTCATTACTAGGCTTTCAGGTCTGGTCCTGCACAGAATGGCCCCAGACATGCTACATGAATATTTGTTTTTGTGTCTTGTATATTATTTCTATTATCCTTGCCAGACTGTTATCTACTTTTTCTTACAATAGACAGTAGACTAACAGTTCCCCATTCTCCAAACTAGTCCCTACCACATCCTTGTAAACCTCCCACACTACTCAATCTACAGTTTTCTTATCTACTAGGGGTTAGAAGCCAGATAATTTAGCTGGTTAAACACATTTTGAATAAATGCCAACAGGTTCTGAGAATCTCAAAGGCTCTCATGCTTTAAGATATAGGCTGGGGGCTGGGAAGGTGGCTCAGTGATAGAGCACTTGCCTTGCATGCATGAAGCCCTGGGTTTGATTCCTGAGCACCACATAAGCAAAAAGAAAAAAAGCCAGAAGTGGCGCTGTGGCTCAAGTGGTAGAGTGCTAGCCTTGAGCTGAAGAGCTGAGGGACAGCGCGCAGGCCCAGAGTTCAAACCCCACGACCGGACCCAAAAAAAAAAAAAAAATTATAGGCCAGAACAATTGGCTTCCCTAGACTTATGCTGCTTAAGTATCTTTTTCTCAAATACATTTTGTAACAAGTCAAGGATAGTAGTGCAAACAAATCATTTAGATTAGGGAAAGCCCAAATAATTAATATCTAAAACTAGAAAACAGCAAGAAAAAAAGATTATTTGGGAAGACCCTTAAGTGCCTCAATGAAGTTGTAAGTATTTTAATCAAGACCACTTAATCCTTATAATACCCTCAAAAGTTAAAGATTATTTTTTACATTTTCAGTTAAATTTTTTTTTAAAAAGCTTCTGAAGTAATTTACCCAAAAGTATAACTGAGAAGCCAAATATTAGCATAGGACTCTCTGTTTCCAAACTCCAAAGCTTTTCTATTTTCTACTACATGGAATTGCTACCCAATCTATATTTATTGGTTTAACATTTTTACATGTCATTCTGATCCTTTCACTGAAACCTAATTCAAGTTTGCTTTCTTCTTCTTACTTCTTTTTGCAACTAAAGGGCAATGGTTAATGAAATTGAAGCCAAAAAAAGCTTAACTCTTCAAGTGTACATCTGTTCAATAACATGTTTCTGGAACACTGTCCATTATCTTCCATTTGTATAGACTGCAAAAACCGGTGACAGATCCACAACCCTTTCTGCTCCACAGAGAAAGCACTGACTGTTCCCAATGACTCTATCATACCTTCTTCAGTGCTGTCCTATATACACTGATACAAAGTAATGCAAGTATACTGCAGGAACTGACTCAGTAATGAATTTATTATGTTTATGCTCCCTCATTTCTACATCGTCATAACTAATTTTCTTATTCTAAGTACTAGAGAAATAAAGTTGCCGCATGCCTAATTCCATAAAAAAAAAAAAATGGCTGTACTTGCTCACTATTACCTTTATTGCCTAGTACTAGGGCTGATACACAGTAAAAGCTGTTGTTTGTTGAATAAATATATACAACTGTTCAAAAAATACAAGTTATGTGATGAATAAATTTACAACTTCTCCTGAACTACTTTTGAGTTATTTACATTTCACATTTTCTGACATAACTTTGCAGGACTTACTAGAAAACATCTTCCTTGTTACAGAAATTAAGGTCCTAAAATGGCTCTTGTACTCATATCAAAAGACAAAGAATCTAAGTACCAGTGGCTCATGCCTGCATTCCTAGTTGGGAGGCTGCTAGCAAGAAGACTGAGTGAGGCCAGAAAGAAAAGTTCAAGGAACACCTACACACACACCAATAGTTAGGCACAGTGGCACATACCTGTCATTCTAGCTATGTGGGGAAGCTGGGACTATAGTTCCACACCAGCCAGGCTGGCTCAAGTCTGTAATTCTAGCTACTTGGGAGGCTGGTAACAGGAAGGTTGAAAATTGAAAGCCAACCTGACAGAAAAATTCAAGAGACTCTCAACCAACAGCTAGTTGCAGTGGTACATGCCTGTCATCCTAGATTTGTAGGAGTCTGAGATAGGGTCCAGAGTTCCAGGCCAGCCAGGCAGAAAAGTGGTAAGATGTAGGCTATGCTCAACATAAGAAGCAGGGTGGAAGAAGTTGAGTATGGTACTGCAAACCTGTCATTCCAGCTACAGTGAAAAGTGGAAAAAATAAAAGAATCATGGTCTAGGCACACACCAAGGGAGGAAACAAGACTATCAAAAATAATGAGTGCAAAAAAGGGATAGAGATGTGGCTCAGCAGAAGCACAAGGTTCCAAGTTCAAACCCCAGTACTAAATAAATAATAAATCTAAAAAGTTATGCCCTTCTTCACCTTCTAAAAGATGCTTGCCTCAAGAACATGAGTAAATCTCCAATCTGACAGTTTCCTATATACAGCTTGCATATGCTTTAGAAAAGCACCCTACCTATACAAGAAAGTTGTTCCAAGCGAGCACTAAACCAGCTGAATCAAAATCAAAATAAGAAAACATTTTAGACCTAAAAGTAAAAATTGACAATACTGACAACATGCAAAACCCAAAAGGTACCTGGCAAGCAATTTAGCAGCTATTTTTTTTTACATTCACATATTTTGCCCCCAAAGGTGTAGTGAAATTATGGCAACATTTTCTTAATATTTATAACATGAAAATGAAAAGTGGACCTCCTATTCTCAGGAAGCAGAAACAATTAAACATTATAAAAGAAAAGTATTGTATACTCAAATCATCCCCAGTATTCCTACAAAGAGTTAAAACACATACAAGCCTGATAGGCTACAAGGCAACAGGAAATTGTCATGCACAGTTTCTTACAAAACTTTATTTCTGGAACCATGCAGACTGAGTAGAGATTTAGAAATCAAATTTTGTTGAACACCTTACAAAGTGAAATAACTTAAGGTGTAGCTATAAAATCTAAAGAACCTTTTCTAACAAAAGAACAGAAGTGGATGTTTCCAATGGCATCAGAGTAATTAAACTTGGCCAATAAGCTTCCTTAAATTTACCTCCACTAGATTTTAACAAACACTTAGGCATTCACTTTAGAAATGCACAAAGACTGTACTATAATTACTGCTAAGACAGTGAAAGCTAAAACTAAGTTATTTTAAAAATTATTGTTATGTTGAATTTAACATTTGCTAAAAGATCTTCTTGCAGAGGAAGAAGTTAAATAAGAAAGTTTTCCTAGTTAAAATCAAATTATAACATTTTATGAAGACCATTCTACATTTTTCCAACTCTGTTACATTTGCTCTACTAACTTATGCGTTAAAACTTCAACTTTCATGTAACTTTGAATTATCATTTCTCTGTAAGAGGGAAACTTTTCAGTAAATGTATTTTCAGCATAACAGTAAATGTAAATGCATTCTCAGATAAGGCTCAAGGAAAGCATACTTAAATGATGGCGGTTCAGTTCACCTGAAGTCAGAGAAAATAAAAAGGAACTTTGGAAATTCATTCACATTTCAGGAGACCAATTTGGAAAGATAAAACTAGGCTATGTGCGCCTGTAGTAGTTTTATGTGTGTCGTTTTAAGTTTAAAGCAACCTCGAATTAGTATATTCTAAAATGTTACAAGACCTGACTTTAATGGAAAATGCTACTTCCAAATCCGTCTTACCTGGAGTTTTTTGTTTTTGTTTAATAGAAGTCTGACAACTAACAGGTAGCGTTTACCTTTCAGGACAAACCGAAGAAATAACAACATAATCACTATAATCTACCTACTGTTTTCTTTTGTTGAGGATCAGAAAGAAGCCATACTCAAACAAGGGTAAGTCAAAGACAAAAGTACCTGGCCCAAAGAGAGTTTCCCTGAAAGAACTCCTCAATCTTGGAACAATTTTGAAGCCCAAGTTGGGGATATCTGAAATCAATTAGAATTAGCATGCGCCCTAAAGGGGTATGACCAAAGCTAGCAGGCTGCACCTACAGCAGAACTTTCCCAAGTGTGTGGAGGACGATCCCAGCAGAGCATCAGTCGTGAGCGTGCTCCAATGAAGACGCCCAGACAATTCAGATCCCGCGACCGTGGCAGTTAACAAAGGGTACGGACCAAAATAAACAACAACACAAGCAGAAAAGTGGAAGCAAAGTATCTCACGCTCCGAACTCTGATGCCCAACAACTCCACGAACAAGAGAAACTGTCCTTCGGCTTCGGAAATCAGTTCTCCGAACTACACTGAGGGTGCTAGCGAGCGCCGGGGAAGGGAGGCGGGCCGGGCTGGGCCGGGGACTCGGGGACCGCAGCCCCGCTCTCCGACGCCCACCCCGGCCCGCGCGCCCACGGCCCCGCCACACCCCAGCCCCCACCCGCCGTGGCCATGTGACACGCCGGCCCGGCCGCACAAACACACCCCTGCCCGAGGCCCGCGGGCGCCCAGGCTTTACCTGCACCGAGGCGCCAGGTCCGGCCCCGACAGATCCGGGGGACCGGGACCTTTTGTTCCTTCCCCTGCCAAATGGATGGAGGGGGCTGGGAGAAGAGGAGGGGAATGGGCGCTCCCAGGCGGAACTGAAAACACTCCGGGCCGCCGAGCCCCCGCCCCGCCCCGCCCCCAGCCCCGTGCCTGGCAGCCACCCCGCAGCTCGGAGCCGAGCCCAGCGGAGCTCACGGAGGAGGGGAGGGG